TGAAGTTGTGAAAGTAATCTTGCCCGTTATGTCCTGAAGACCTTGTTTTGAAACTTGGTCATTTTCTGATAGTCCGCACTTGTTTAGACTTGTTTCGTGAATGGAATTTTTGTGTGCTCTTTTGCCACAATTTTGAAATCTGGGGAGTTGCAGAGATCTTTTGTGATTGATCCTGTTAGTCTCTACAGCATAGCTGGTGGAGAATTTGTCTTGTTTGTCACATGACCAGTGGAAAGATGGGCAACCCTCTACTTTGTAAGAGATTCCAGGCTATTTTAGCAAATGTTGTGTGTTTTCTAGATGCGTTTTAGGAGCTGGATAACTTGGTTTGCCTGTGTAATGAACTTACATGTGAAGCGACAATGATCCATTAAGAAATTTCGTGCTTTTTGATTGAAATCCTTATGGGATTTGAGTCTATATATTATACGTGCCTATGTCATGCCAATGTCTAGGCTGTGGTTGATGCCACTTAGTTTCTGTACATATCCAAATGCTCTTGCAGGAAAGGAAATGGTTTTTCACACATGGGTGAAAATTTTCCTGCTAAATAGCCTACCAGATATCTTTGTTTAAACTTGCTCCTATTCCTGAAAAAATTGTCTGAAAATTTGTTATTACTCAAGTTTTGGATTCTGCACTTGTTTTTGTTTCTTGAGTATCGACGTCCAAATATAAATTATGCCTGGTGGAGTTCTTGAAGTTAGCTTGACATATGCTAACATAGAAAATTGCTTGATATTTGGTTGTGGAATCCATTCTGCTCTGTCTTCGAAAATGTTTTGCTTTGACACTTGCTCGTGCTCAAGTTCTGAATTTTATGCTAGTTGTTATCTCGGTATACCAATATACCTGTTAATTCTTGTTTTAAGTTTCATGTAGACACCACTTTAGGAGGGGTGACGACTTCTAGGGGTATATTTAGAAATATCCCTATTTTGGTTATGGATAGATAGCCTAATGCTGATATTATGTCTTAATATCTTTGATTGACGTGATTGTAAAAATATTGTGCCACCATGGACTATGCTTAAATGGGTTATCATCACAGTATTTAGTGCTCCAGAGTTTAGTTCTAGAGGAATGGTTCTTTCCTCTATCCGCTTAGATTCTTGCCTTGCCATCCAATAGTGCGTTATCGATTAACCCTGGGTGGTGGCAGAATGTACAAGGCCTTTTACATTAGGTCTATCTGTTTGAGTATCCATTTGGGCATTCATATATGAATGCAAACATAGACATACATGAGCATATACATGCATACATGCATGCACACATGTGCATTCATACATGCATGTGCATAAAGGCATTCATTCATAAATGCATATACATGCATTCATCCATTCATGATCCCATATGTCCGAGTGATGCTTATCCGTCTCGGATAGGGTTCCATCTTTTAGCTGGACTCATCATTTGACTCCTTGCCATGTGTCTGATGAGTGCCGGGTCTTGATTTGGGTCAAGAGCACCACATAATCACGCCGCAAACCCTCGAGTGTAGTTACTTGTGTTGAGGCGTGAAGTTATCTCCTGCTTCCCAAATGGCCATTGGGGAGGGTGGAGATTGAGACTGTTGTTGGCTTGTTAGGGCAGTGATGAGTACTCATCCCTGTGAAGTGAATCCGATTATTGTACCTTTGTAATTGTTAGCCGTGTATTTGAGATTGATTTTCTTGTTATTGTTGTTGTTGATGCTAGTGCTGCTACCTATTTTGTGTTTAAAATTGGTGCGCAGAATGTGGTCCTTGTTTAGATTGTTTAGTTTGATATAAATTGTCATTCTAGAGCGACATTTGTTTTGTCTTCAGCCTGACTTTTAAAGTATTTAACCAGTTTTGTGACAGCTATGCAGTTGTTTCTTTGTTAGAAATTCTTGGTTGGTTTACTTGCATCTAGTTACCTACAAAGGGTCCGGCCATGAAACCTGTAGAGCCATGGTGTCCTTCTAGAACTTGCCTTGTTTGTGGATTATTATTAAGAATCAGTGAATGAAATTGCACAAAACCCAAACCATACCCTTAGGTTTGCAGAACATTTGAGTGGTTATATGCCTCTTGTGATGTGCTCCAGTGTCCTTTGCCACAAATGAAGGAGCTGTTAGCTCAGGCGTCTTCTCTAGGACAAAATGGTACTTTAAGGATATGCTTTAGATGGACTATTGAACACATTTTATCCTTTGTGAAAACCTAATCTTTGGACTTTGTATATGTCCCCCTAATCTAGGGATTTACCTTTGATTTTGCTATGTGTTGTTTCTTGACCATTAAGACTATGAGGGTATTAAATTCAAGTTGGAGTCTCCAACCTCAAAGTGGCTTTAGTTTTCTTGATGTTTTATCTTAGAGCTTGGAATGCATTTAAGTTACTGGAATGTAATGTTAGTTATGGAGGCCATGATTTAGGTCTCAATTTGATCAATGTGTCAAAATTCGTGCTATGCCATTCCTTGCTAGCTCGTTTTATTTTGGGTTCATAGCATAGTTAAGCTATTGTTTTCTGTAGCCTTGGTAAGAATCTCATCTGGGTTTCTCTGGAATTCAAATTAATTCTGCTCTATTCTGGTTCTGCTCTGTCCTTCCGGCATTCTGTTTGTGTAGGGATTTATGGTCTCTGATTTTGTTATGACTTTCTTTGATTTGGAAAAGATCTAAAGTCTGATTGGGGTTCATGACCGTGAAAAAGGTTTGTCCCTTGATTAGCAAATAGCAATTTTGTAGTGGTGGCTTCTTGATTCCCTCCGTTGCTTTGATTTTTTTTGAAATATTGATTGATTGATTCTGCACTGCTATGGCCATATGATGGTTGTCATATGATGGGCACTAGTTGTCTTAGATTGCGTGAGGCCATTCACCAGTCTAAATGATTCTAGATT